AAACTTTTCCCCCCCCCCCCCCCCCCCAAGGTTAAATTTTAAAAAAAGGACTGAAGGCATGATTAGACAGATTTAGGTTGAGGTATTACTTCACATTAAATATTGCTTGTGTCAGAATAATCTCAACTTTTCTTTCATCCCTAACACCATAGTACCCTAGAAGCCATCTGTCCATCAACATACAGGGGATTTACAGATTCACCCACCATTAGCAATAACAGAAGCTACTCATTACATTTCCAAATCACTCCAAATAGTAACCCAGACATCTCTAAATGCAAATGCAACCCGCGTGCCCACGCATTCACACAAACAGCCTGCGCTTTCTCCTCTTGGATGTTTGGTTAAAGGATAGGTTATACGTTGTTAACAGCAGTCATTAAGAAGTGTTTCAATGACAACTTGTGATCCCTGCCACCTGATCTCGTGGCTCCTATTCGTGTGAACTGCATGGGAAAGCTGATGAAGGGTCACGAGATCAGAACACTTGCAGATGACTTAGTAAAAATAAGGTGGTAAGAACAAGATTTGGTCCCTAAGCCTCTACCTTTCAATAAATAACAATGCCACCAGAGCAAATAGTTTGAACAATTTTCAATGCCTGTTACACCTTTCAGCCCTCTTTCTTCCATATTTGTTTATCTCCTCCTTACTCCTGCAAAGGAAATTGTATTTAAGATTGTATTGAACTGTATTTCCATTTATTTTGGAAGAGATAAAAACAATATTTTTTTAAATAACGGATAGAAGTTTAGGTTCTGAAATGCCTTTACTTAATTAGTCTCAAATATCTCCTGGCAAATCTATCAACTGAGTTCAAGTATGTGGTAATTCAGGAAGTGAAAGAGCTTTGTTGTTTTTTTAAGATTGAGACAAAACTGTACAAGTCAGTTTAGCTCCGGCTTCATTAAACCGTAATCCACGAGTCTAATGGTAACAGGTGAGTGTCTGAAAACACTACACTCTTTTTTTCATTTACTAGTATCAAGCATATCAGAAAATGGAAAAGGGAAGGAGGAAATAAGCCAGTGAAATAGCAACACAAATTGCTGTGCAAACTCTCATTCTTCCCAGTGCACAGTCGCCAGAAGGCTGGCACACATCCCACCTGCACCACTCACTGCACGAGCATCCTCGGAGACCGGGCTAGTAAGACCCAGTGGAAGCTCTAGAAATCAGACTGACAGGAATTTTAAAAAAAACAGAACAAAACCAAAAAAACTTCACAAAAAGATACACAAACCAAGTTTTTTGTTTGTTTAATAAAAGCTTGCAAGGCACATGTTTCAACTGAATTGCAACATCTACAGCAAAACAGACCAAAATTTGCAGAAGGTTCCCCCAGCCCTTTCAGGGAGTTAACCCCGTGGCCCGGCTGAAAACCAAGCAAGGGTTGTGTGTCCAAGTCCCATGTAATTGTGCACTAGCATTGTCCTTCTGAGGGATAGCGTGAAACTTACTGTTTCTTTTACACAGAAGGTGGAGATTAGAACAGACAATACTATTTTTGCTAATCCATAGCTGGATAAGAAATTCAAGCTTATCGTTTTCTTTGTAAGATATGATTCTTCCAGTCACTCATTTTTCAAATGATGCCTTTTTACTGGAACAACAGCAATGTCTCTCCCACATAAAAGGCTCCTTCTGTTACTTAAGGCTGCTGTGCCAAGGGTGCTGCAATACAATTTTCTCTAATATAAAAAGCAAGGTAAAAATCTTAAATGATTCTCCTAAAGCAGAATCAATCGAAGTATCAAGAATACATCATAAAAACTATGACAAAACTAATAACAACAACTATGTCACAGTTCAAATAAAGTTCAACATGTTCATTTAAACATGTATAAAGGCCAACGTGCTACAAGACAGTCTTCTTCAGACGTACGGATGGCCTCGTTTGGGATTTTTTTTTTCTTAACATGCGTGCTCTACATGTAAGTACTCAAACTACGTTCTATGTGGTAACACATACACACAGCATTGGGGTAAAACACAACAGGCAGTCAAGGACAGTTAAATGTTGCACCTTGGCATGGCAGTCTAAGGCACCAAGCCGTAAACTATGCGACTTCATCCACCCAAGTGCAGTTGTAACCCTGAAGTTTCCTACCCGGAATGCCTTATTGCTGTTATGAACTGGTATTCACGAATGATTAACTTCAGGCGGGTAAATGACTGACACACAGACATACGATTCCTTGACGGTAAGTCAAACAAACTTAAATTGTGTAAGGAACTCTAAACTTACTTCCTAATATTACATCTACACCCACGCTAGCACATACAGAGAAGGCTCCTGCAGGCTTGCCATAGCTCATTAATTCATTAGCTTCTGTCCTTGCACGGTAATTGAGAAGTCTGAAAGAGTCCAGGGCAGTAAAACACACACACTTGTGCAAATAAACACAGACTGCATTTGGCCAGAGACACACGTACACACTGCCCTCAGCACAACAACTGTACCCCAGAAAGGATATGTACTTGTAACTCGTTAACTCAGTTGTACTGATAAACATCTCTCTCAATGACCACCTATTTGATGGATTTATCTGAACACTGGTTTCAAATAAAATGCATAATTTAACAGCTTGTCAAGACTCGTAAGCCTAAAAATATAACTGAAAGGAAAAAACAGATTACAGATATGTTGACTTTTACAATAAAGCTTATTTTCTTTTAAATCACTCCAACAGTGACAATAGGTTTAAAAAAAATCTTAGCACTACCTGTTAGTGTCAAGTAAGCAAATATATCTGCATAGAGCAGACAGGAATCACGTACACAGACCAACATCCTGCAGTTCCTAAAAATTTCAGAGTTAAAAATCTCTGAGTTTGTGTTTTACCAACAAGGGCAGTAAACGATGGTTTTGCAGCTTTCATGTGCAGAGTGGTTTGCAGATTTTTCAGTTGGAGGTTCATCCTATTATGCCAGATCCTTCATTAAAGACATCTGGGCTCCAAAGAATCATTCCCACATGCCTGGTAGACTAGTCTCTGGGCCAGGTGTTACAAGAATCCCTAACTACAGATAACTCTCAAGAGAGGAATAACCCCTTCCAAAACTTAACAGAGGAATGACATCTTCCAAAACTTACATCTTGGTTGCTTTTTTTGCCCAGCTACACCTACATAAGCAAAGTTACTATTACCTTCTATTGGATCTTCCATTCACAACCCAGAGCTGGAATTAAAGCATCATTCATTCTCTTTAAAGTACGTCAGCCAGCAACAAACAGGATGAACAGATATTTGTTAAGAAAAATAGTTGTAGAGGCAAAGGGGGCCACATAAGGAAGACAAACTTTAGAGAGAAGCAAGATTGCAGAGTACTTTCCCAGATTTTCAAAGATCTTGGTGTAGTTGCATAATTGATATAAAAATAGCTATGAACAACCGTACCATTATTTATTAATGGTGGTGATTTTAGTGTTTTAAATTACAGTTATGGCACTATCACACACTAAGCTGGATGAAATGAATACCACCCATCCCTCCCCATACACACACACACACACATATATACCAGCAGGCACACAGAGGGGGTGGAACAGAAGTGCAGAAGTCTCAGTAGCAACCCTAGTTGTCCTGCTACACTTGTCTAAAAACAAGTGTGGCACACTGTTGGATACTGGCCCGTTCTGACGGCTGCTAAGACACACATACGCATACACACATCCACATTTAACCATGGAAAAATCCTAAACACAAGTTCTTTCCAAACTGAAGAGCTTTTTAACTTCTACTGCCAGGTCTGAGTCCAAGCGCTTCCACCAACGTGTCTCCAACAACGTAAACATCAGTGCCTTAATCTATGGAAGTGTTGTTTAAATAAAATCTTCCTTATTTGATTTATACAAACACTATAACTAGACATAAGATGTATGAGTGTGTGTTTGATAAACATAGAAATGTTTATAGTGGAAGACAGGAAGAATTAAAACAATAAAAACAAACAAAAACCCCAAACACTTACTTGAAAAGACTCGGGATAATGATTGCTTTCTTGCTAAAAAAAGAAAAGCTATATGACTTAAATGAGCTCTTTAAATAATTTTCTGCATTTACTGAAGTCTACCCACATCAGTTCTCTAACACTAAAGTTAGAAATCTCATTTACATGAAGATTAAAATGATTTATAATGGGAAGAAAAATGCAAAAACGTGGAAGACTGTCACACTTTGTAGAGACTGTAAAATTGACATATTCTCCTGTTTCCTTCAAGGATGGTATCTGTGTCTGTTGATCTGTAGTTCAAAGAATTCCAGTTTGGTAAAATAAAGTTGTCAATACACTGCATGTGCGCACATGTATCTGCAGAAACAACTTCCTTGATCAAAAGGAACTTTTCCAACTGAATTTCATTCACAATCAATCCTCAGAAAGAAGCTTGCATGCTTTTTCATGACTGGAAGGATATCACAGTGTTGATTTTATATACAAAGTAGGATCTATTCCAGTATACCCGAGTAAAATAATTCACATATGGAGAATAGTTCATTTTGATTTCATGACAAAATCGTCCATATTTTGAGTAGGCATAACTGTCGCCTTCCTCACAAACCACCTGTCAGAAAATAAGAAGATCTAATTAAAATACTGAAGATAAGTGCTTACAGAACGTAATTCTGTACATTTAATTTACTTCTGTATTCTGTACATTTACAATAGACATTTAATTTCAATACCGTACAATTATTCATGCATTCAAACATTCACATTTTTTTTTACTGTTACTTACATGACCATTAGCAACATCCAACAGATCTTTAACTCTACATCCTCTTACAGGTCCCACTTCATTGCAAATTGAATCTTCAATAATCAGAAAATTGGCTTTATAAGATGTCAGTATCTTATAAATATCCTCTGCTGACCTCTTTGAATAGATCTGATAAATCTATAAATTAAGAAAACATGTTCAGGCAATGCAAAAATCAGTGATTAATTAAATATCTGGGAGTCGTGGTACTTGGAATGCTGCTCACATGTAGTGGGGGTGGCACCAAACAATAATTTGCATTGCCAGGTGCCCTTGGGGGCACAGAAGAGCAAGGTAAATGAGCGTGTCACAAGGAATGTTACAAGGTCATCTTCTGTGGAGCATTAACATTTAGAGTACTCCCACACATCTCAATCGGGCACTTCACTCTTACCTGATGGACCAGTCTATAAATCACAGTTAATACACACACATTTATGGAATTGGACACTCACATTTTCATTTCTTTTTAGAAGATCATCATCATTATACAAAGGCAAGCTGGACACCATCCATCCGGTACAAAGCTTGATGACACCCATTAACTGTGGGCTGCCTGCAAACACTGCAGCCACCGGAGCCTGGCGTCTGCAAAAGCAACACCAACACACACATCTGAGTACAGGATGCATTTCTCAATACGGTGGTTTTAATTTTAAACACTGTGAATCTTCTAAGGTGCTACAGTACGAATTGGAGTGCACAAAGGTATCATTTTGGGTCTAATTACAACTGCTGTTAATGCTGCACTGGCAGTAGTAAAAGCTCAGACGTGCAGCAGTACGGAGTTTCCAAGGAATGTCTCCTCCTGGGGCAAGGGCTGATGGTCGTTCTCCTCCTCTCACTTGCAACCCATGGAGCACCATTCAGAGAGGTCCTGGACAGTATCAAACTATTGCTTTTCTGCATGGTTGCTGCCTTGTGACAAAACAAGCTTGGGAGGGAGGGTAAGTAGAAGGAGAAACAACATGATGTTGTCTTGTAAGGGAAAGATTTGTGATTAGTTTCACTTGATCTCTAGGAACACGTATTTAATCATCTACAATAAACAGTCTCGTGATACAGAATAATGTTCACCGGTAATTATGTTTCTGGCTTTTGTTTCATCTTTTGACTATTTGTATTCCTGCATTTGTGAAAGAAAACAGTCATTGTCACACCTTATTACAGACTTTGGGCAACTTTTCCTGCAGAGAAAATTCAAAATTAATTCATGTTATCAGAGAGAAACTTTAAAGAAAATATACTATAATAATGACATTCAATTAAAATTCCAATATGGACATCTAAGTATATCCTTAAGGAAAAAAATATCCTTATTTCCATTAAAAATATGAACAGCTGCTACAAATAAGGGTAGTCAAATTGCTCTTAGCTGAGTGAATCTCAATGCAATTCACCATGATTAATTATGTACTTGAAGTGTAATATATGCAGACTAATGCAAAAGCCATTAGGTACTTGGCATTATTCCACTTGCTGCCTTGAAGAGCTACAGCAGTGACAAACAACATACACTACTATTAACAGTAAGAAGAAATTGGCTGGAACACCATAATTACTAGCCTTGTCTTTTCTGAAGAGGAACAGGTTGACATTAAAGACTACATAAATACAGAAAATAATCTTCTAAAAAAAATACAGTTAAAGATAAGCTAGTTATCTGAAAACATGGGATCTAACTTTCAGAGAAGTGCAGTTCCTACTGATATTGTTCAAAGTTGGATTGAATGAGGACAGAACCCAGTTCTGAAACTTCTGGTGAGAAGAAAAATCTATCTGTGAAAATAACTTGACTCAGAATTAGCTATGTATGTGTATGTTTGAACTACATAACATAGGTCAGGATTTGCTGTGCCCTGCCTAACCAGCCCTGCCTTTCCAGGGGAAGTTTGAATCATACAGGCTACATTGCGTGTTTCTTGACTGAGGTCTCTCAATCCTCACACTCGGGCATTTCATTTTACTGGCTCATGCACACAAAAACTTTAGTGTTTCTGTCCCCCATGGAATTACAATCAACATGGATCCTCTAATCTACTGAAAAGTTAGTGTGTGAAGCACGAAGATGTCCACCTTTATTTGGGAATTAGGTCTAGCAATGATAATAAATACGATTTGCTCACATGTTTCACAATCTTCTCTTGTAATCAGTCATAAATTATTGGTTCTTTCCACTTTGAGTACACATTTCTCCTCCCATCTCCGTCTACATCATGCAATGACTTAGCAAGGGAAAACTCAGAATCATACAGACAGCTGCACAAAACGCTGAGATAAAAATACCCTGACATAAAGAAGAAAAATAGAAATGTAGGACTTCATACTTACTTTATCCATGTCATGAGTTCTACTGTATCAGGATCATAGAATTCCTGTAGTTCAGAAAGCTCTGTCATTATCCTAGGGAAAAACTGATGGAAATACATTCTTGGTAACTTGAAGTTAAAAAAAAAAAATAAGTCTATAGAGCATCTCATTACATTAAGGCCTTAAATAACTTAACAGAAATGGGTTTCATCTGAGTTTTCCCTCCCGATTGGTATTTTCGTTTGAATATTTTGCCAAACACACTGTTTATACTTACCTGACAGCAGGAGAACATCTCCAAAATAAGTACGTTAAACACAGTTCTCATCTCTCTCTATTTTATTATAATATTTATAATTAAAAAATGGGATACACACACCACCCCCCCCCAAAATTATGTGGCTAATCTGCCCTGGACTTTCCTCAGACTTCAATGACTACAGTGAAGGACAGTACACTGTATTGTATGAAGTAGGATATTTCAGTTCATGCTTTTAAAAAACATTTTGGGAAAAGGAGGGATTCTGGGAAGTCAGATAGAGTGCCAATTCCATGAGACCAGACCAGATTGCAAGCTTGCACAATAGCTTTCCTATCCTGTCAGGTTTGGGGGGGGTAAAAGAACAACAGATCTTTTATTAAGACGGGCAATTTTAGAATCAGAGAATCATTTAGGTTGGAAAAGACCCGTAAGATTGATTCCAACCATTAACCTAGCACTGACAAAAACCACCACTAAACCATGCCCCTAAGCATCACTTCTACATGTCTTTTAAATACCTCCAGGGATGGCGACTCCACCACTTCCCTGGGCAGCCTGTTCCAACACTTGACGACCCTTTCAGTGAAGACATTTTTCCTAATATCCAGTGTAAACTTCTCCTGGCACAACTTCAGGCTGTTTGCTCTTGGCCTATTGCTTGTTACCTGGGAGAACAGACCGAATCATTTAGGTTGGAAAAGACCCGTAAGATTGATTCCAACCATTAACCTAGCACTGACAAAAACCACCACTAAACCATGCCCCTAAGCATCACTTCTACATGTCTTTTAAATACCTCCAGGGATGGCGACTCCACCACTTCCCTGGGCAGCCTGTTCCAACACTTGACGACCCTTTCAGTGAAGACATTTTTCCTAATATCCAGTGTAAACTTCTCCTGGCTCAGCTTCAGGCTGTTTCCTCTTGGCCTATTGCTTGTTACCTGGGAGAACAGACCGACCCCTACCTCCCTACAACCTCCTTTCAGGGAGTTGTAGAGAGGGGTAAGGTCTCCCCTCAGCCTCCTTTTCTCCAGGCTGAACACCACCAGCTCCCTCAGCCATTCTTCATTAGACTTGTGCTTCAGACCCCTCACCAGCTTCACTGCCCTTCTCTGGACCTGCTCCAGCACCTCAGTGTCTTTCTTGTCGTGAGGGGCCCAAAACTGAACACAGTGTTCAAGGTGTAGCCTCACCAGTGCTGGGTACAGGGGGGCAATCAGTTCCCTAGTCCTGCTGGTCACACGATTTGTGATACAAGCCAGGATGCTCTTGGCCTTCTTGACCACCTGGGCACACTGCTGGCTCATGTTCAGCCATTTTGCTAGTCCGAGAGCCATTTTCAGCATTTATCTGAAAAAGGCATGACTAGAAGCTGGTCAGGCTTGAGGGGTTGGAGCATGTTCACTCTACTGTAAACGCTGAGTGAAAGCTACTGGATGCCAGGTCTTTCTGAAAAGGATAAAGTTTACAGGCTATGACAGACTAACAGGACAACTTTGAGACAGCTGGAAATGGGAGCTTGCTTTTAACTGAGGAACTTCCACCCCCATTACGTGGACAATTCAGCTGCCAAGTGGCAGCAGCCTACAAGCTGACGTGCTTAGGGTGACACAAGAACAGCTGCCATATTTTCACATCAGGGCTGAAAGCTGTAGCAGTCCCCTTACACATTTATATGCTTAAACTGTCCCTGGACCAGATGTCAGAAAGAGGAACCACTACTGCCACCCCAAGGAGAACCAGCTTCACTTATCAACCAGAGCCCTTCGAAAAATCTAGTTAGATGAGGGACCATGCCAGAACTGAGTCAGAAGGCAGCCAAGCAGAAAGATGCTGAGCCCCGGTAACAGATTCAGAGCCTCAAGGCATTTTACTGTCCCGTTGCTATTAATCACAGTTTCCAAGCTCAGGGATGAGTTATGAACCTGGAGAGAAAACCGTTCACCGCTGCTTAAAAGCAAAAGCTGGATCTACAAGGGATGAAGCCCTCTAGAGTCCAAACCCCCACACTGCTTTCATTAAAAAATAATCTGAAAAAGAATTCGTTGGTCAACTAACCTAGCTTCCTCTATAGTAATAGATTTCGTAACTCTTTTGAGCAACTGTAGCTTTTTTTTCAGAAGAATATCTATTGCTCTGGCAGAAATGTGTAAAGAGTCAGATTACATTACAACCAAAATTGCTCTAAGATAGATGTTACAAAATCTGTTAAAACACTGTTGGTCAAGACTGGCTTTTATATTTGAATGCCTTTTAAAAAAAATAATATTTGAATTCTTATAAAACTATTCAAACTAACTATTTTGAAGTTATGTCAGTAGAGTACAGACTTACACGTTATGGGATATTTCCAACATTTTTTTGCACTTACGGAAGTTTAAAAACTAATTTCCAAATAGTCCTTCCCCCAGTCTGTCTGTGACTTGCAATAAAGATCTAAGTATTTATTTTAAACATGGCAACATCTGTAGCTTTTCTTCCTTGTATTGTAGGATATACGTACCTGGACACAGTCTCTGCAGGAAGGATTTAACTCCATTATAACTTGAGGGGAGCTTTTCAAACAAATTATTTGCGTATTTGCCTCCCATAATTTTATTTCCGTTTAAACTCACTCCCTCTCACTAAAACCAAGATTGGGGCAACACAGTTTTCAATTTCCCAAGTTTTTATTTGGCAATATTTTCTTTGACACACTTATATATCCAAAGCATGAAAGCTGAATACAACAAAGTCTTCATTTAAATTTAAATACTTCTTAATTACAACATGCGATCGTTAACAGATTATATTGTCAAATACCTCATACTGAAAAATGTAAACAGTTTTGTTTAAAAAAAAAAAAACCCAAACATATTTTCAGCGGAGACAGCTTTTATTTCATTATATATATTTCATTTCACCAAATGTATTTCCTTATAGTTGCCCATCATGTTGACTCATTTTGTGCCTACAGACAAAACAAAAAAACAAAAGGTGCTTTCCACGAAAGGCACTTTTCTTACCTCTTTCCACAAGCTGAATCCAATTATTGTGGGAACTGCCATACTCAGAATAAGAGCCTAGAAAATACATGGTAGAAGAAATGGATTATGGACCATTCTCCCTCCAACTTTGGACTCTCCATTGATTCTGTTCATACAGTAGGCTACATTTGTGCCTGAAACCTGAGAGCAACAGTAGGTGAAACTTTGCAGTTTTCTACCAGGCAAAAACTCTCCACAAACAAGAATTTGCCTAATTTAGGACGGAAGAACTTATTTGACCTATGATGACTTTAGCATCAATATTAGGGATGGTTAATTACTACTCAAAATAACATGGATGCAATGTACTCATGATGTGGGGAACTGAAGAAAAGTAAACACCTCACATACAATCACAATGATATAATCCGAGAAAGGGAAAAAAGTATGAAACAAGCATTTCAAACCTTTAATCTTGTTGATGCTTTTGTTCAGATTAACACTACTGACATGCAAAACCCAGAAACCCATTTTTCAGCACACCACCATTCTAGCTGATACAATTTTTGCTTTGCTGAGGCACAGGAAACATTTGGTAAGGAACGCACACAAGGCGTTCTCTTGATAATAAGCTATTAATACATCTACTGTGTTAACAGCAAAACAGCAGGTCTATATAGCAGAAAGCATGAGGTGTATAAAGGAACGTGTTCCCCATGTATGTGAACATATTAGGAAGAACACTCTCAATGTTTCTGACGTAACAGAGCATGGCATTTTCACATTTGACACAGCGAATCTCTGTTTAAGTATAAAATATTTATTCCTACCAGCCTCTTGAAATCAAGATAAGTTATATCCTATCCTTATTTTATTAATAAAAAAAAAATGCACAAAGTTGGTAAAAATTGCACAATGACAGAAAGCTTGAGGTCTCAAAGATCTGTGAAGAGAAATTAAACAGATGAGTAAAAGAGATGAAGACAGCCCTGCTTCTTATAAGGAAAGGCTGTAGCGTGAACACAACTTTATCACCAGGTACCAGTGAATGTATTAAAGCATGATATTATGAATGAAAGGCACAGAAAAAGCAGACTATGTGAGATCCACTGAACTCACAGAACTACACGCTTTTTTAACAGCTTCTTCTATAGGTCTTAGGTAATTGTTGTTTGAAAAGTTAAATGCTTGCTAGCTGTAATTGGACTCACCAGCAATATTGGGTGCACAGCTTTCAGTCGAAGCCACTTGAAAAGCGTCATCCAAAGTTCGGGAGAGCACACACCAAATGCAGCCAACATGCAAACATAAGGCGTCCATAGATATTTTGTTCTGAAAAACATTGCAAGAACTTAGTTGGGACTCTGCACACGCCTCTGTATGTATTCAAGCTATTTATTAAAAACATTCAGATTTTTTTTTCATATGTCAAACACAGTCTTGGATGTTCAAGCAATCCGAGATAAATTTGATGGCACTGAAGGGTAAACCAAGGAAATCTCTAGCAGAAGAGCAGGCACCTGATTATCTGCTGCAAGATGTAGGAGCAAGATCCAAGGTCAAAGATGACAAAATCCTTCACAGAGTTCAGGGGAGGATGAAAGGAAAACAAAGAGACTAGTAAAGTCACTTGGCTGTTGCGGTTTTCCAGCCAAGCAAGGATAAAAAGCAGCTATTCAGCAAAGCTGTACATACACTGTACTATAAGGGAGTTCCTGAAGAAAGGAAAGGAAAATATTTAATACACAATTTACGATTTGCTGGTATTGTCTGCCTCTTAAGGATAGACTAGTCAAGTTAAGACAACTACATGATAACACAAGTCTGCCCACTTTAAGAATTTGTGAATATTCAGATTTTAGGATGATGAACATAACACAAACGCAAGTCTACCACCTTCAAGCTGATTTAGCTGAGAGCCAAGATTAGAACAATAACATCTCCCAAACATTATTTGCTTCTGTAGCTTTAAGGACTAACACAATACCTTTGAAAATAGTTTTGCTACTGCTTTAACATGCCAAGCAAAGGTATACTTCATGCTAGCCTAGACACAAGAAGATGGATAAGAAATATTCCATGGCCCAGTATTCCAGAACATACACTCTTCATCAAAACACTACACAAGATCTTGCTAGAATACAATATGAAAAGAATTACAGCACACTTCAATTACACTTAAATATCATAAAGAAAGCGATAAAAATTTGCTTCAATTAGTGTCTCACATTTTGGCTGCGTTAAAGCTTGGAAAAAACATTAAAGAGACCAAGCAAAATTCATCATATACCTGTATCAAATTTATAGTCAAAATGATCTTTGCTCTCTCCCCTACTAACTGCTGTATGCTAAATACATTTCTGAAAAGGGGTGAATTTCAAAAGGGTGAACGGTGTATCACGCCCAGTTAAGAACTCTCTGTTGCTTTCAAAAGAGATACATCAAAATCAGACTTACCCTTCCAAACACATCGCTAGACAACCAAGTAAAATTGTGTGAATTACATGATAAACTATTTCTGGCCTCTCTCCAATTCGACCATCCTCAAGTTTAACTGTCTCTTTCAGTGGTTCACCACTGCAGTTGGAGAAAACGAGACATCACTTAATTCAGACATTATCTCAGGCAAAGGTGCCAATAAAAATACTTTTATGACTGTTAAGTCAGCGGTATACTGAGATCATTCCGTGTCATATCATACAGTATTGTTGCACTGCTTATTTGGTTTTTGTACTTCATCAATGATCTATCAGTACCCGCTGTCCCTTGTTTCAGACTGTAACCTCTCTGGAGCAATGACTGTGAATTAATACAATGGGATCACTGCCTATGACCGTAAATCCTATTTTAAGGTAATTCAGCAACAAGAGACAGTCTAATTTAAGAGCATGCACACTCTGCAAACATTGACATGATGCATGCTGTAAGCATGCATTCTAAGTAAGTATCATTAGCTTGGAAAAGAATTATGCAATCTGTACAAAGATAATTGTGTATCGAATGTGTACACCCCTTTATGACCAAGTAAGATAACAAAAACAGGTTTTAGTCACATTATTATAAATTCTAGTAATACATTATAAATAAAAATCATAACCAAAATCTTACAACAAATGTCTTTCTACAAATGAGATAGCAAGGCACACAACAGATAACATTTTACTCTGCCATGATGTGATTTCAGGTTACAATTGTATAAGAAGTTTCCTCACAACAACTGAAAAAATAGTTGAGATTATTAACTGCTTCAAAATTAAAATAAATAAAAAAATGAGGGGAGAAGGTTTATTTTAAGCTTTTCTTTAAAAAGGTTTTGGACATACTGGAGTCACTGAAATAGTTATTTCAACCACTAGCAAAAAATTCGGAAGTTGATTTCATTGTTTTAAATATAGTGCCACACACCCAACCTGACAAACAGTTTCATTTATAGCAGTATAATCTTTATCTATTAGAAGTCTTGGTCCTTGAAAAAAAATCTATTGATTTTTGCTGCAGACAAACAAGAAATTTGCCCTAATACCAGAGCAGTTACACCATTCATCTTCTACCAGGAAGAGATAATTTCCTAGCCATTGAGTTTCCAAGCCAAGTTACCCTAGGATCTACAGTGCTGCTATTCTTAGTCTGTAAACAGAGAGCTCCACTAGCTGTTCTCCCAGGGGAACTGTGAATCACTGAGAAACTAAAAATAATTGAGTGAGTTTGACTTCAGCTCTGTTCTGAGCAGCAAAGGCTGATGGACCTTATCACAGTAAACAAGAGTTGTAAAAAACCCCAAAAAACAGTGAAGCATTAGAAATCTGAAATCCTCTCAACTCCACCCATCCACCCACCTCATCCTTTATGGTATATAAACTTGGGAAAAAAAAAACCAACAAAAAAAAACAAAAAAACCCCACCAAACCCAAAACAGGGAAAAAAATTCTCTACCTACACTCAGGTAACTGTGCTGTTGGAAGGGTAAAACAGACAAAATATCTTTCTCTCTGGCAATGGGAAGAGCCATAAACATCTCACAAAACATTAGCCAGAGCTCTGCAGGAGTTGCACCTCTGGGGAAACAAACCAATGCCTACTCCCTGTCCCGAGTGGAGGGATGCTCAAGAAGCTCGTCACTAAAGGACTTTCTTTAGGGGCCTCTGGTGGGCCTTTTTTTCCTGGTGCCCACACCCTGCAAGCTCAATGGTGCAACAAACTTTGGAGCAACAAACATCACGACCATTCATTTAGACATCCATGAATCTCTTATTTTTTAACTTCTTATTTTTCAGTATAAATAAGTTACTTACCAAATTCTCCTAAAAATGACCTGAGTTACAGAAAAAAGGCAGATAATTAATACTAAGATATAGAAAGGCAACAGTGATGACTGTGTTAGTCGCAAAAAAAAGTCTTGGGAGGGTGCCTGAAGAGATTCTTGACAAAGGAGCCAATTCATTGTAAAATTCCTAGTAAGGCAAAAACATCCCATTAAAAACAATAACAATACCCCACAGATTAGAAAAAAGAATCCAGCACACAGTTTAACCTATTCGTGTCATAGGAAACTATTTGAAATTAATCTGTGAGAAGTTATGCTTTTATCATTCGAGACCGCTTTGCAAGTACTCTTTAGAGTAAAAGCTTATCTTCCAAAAAAAGAAATCTGTGATCTGAAGAGACCAGACTACAACTCTTTTATATCACAAAACCCCAACCTCCCATACAACTCCATTACGGGAACCACAAAGCATTTCCTTGTCACAGTGGATTAAGATTTTAGAGATATTGATGCAAGAAGGTATGCTTGTCCTCATTCCAAATGGGGAGATGAAGAAGGGAAAGTGGTCATCTGAGATCACAATCAAGCCCAAGGCACTGCCAAGAATAGAATCCTTAATGCTGAAATTCTAGTTCTGTAGCCGAACCCACTCGATCATTTTTCTTTCTCCATTAATGAGCAGAAAGGTTATATACTCTGCCAAGAAGCACTACCATTGTGTATTCTCAACTGGAATTGGTGCAGCATGTGATGCCGTGAATGCATTCTTGTCTTATTTTGTTTTGCTTTCCTCCCTCTTTTCTTTTTCCCCAAGGGAAGACCAGAGAACTGAACCACTTTCAATTAGACAGAATCAATTTAAAGATTAACAGCTGGGCATGTCCAAACTGGCCTTAAAAGACAGATCTTGAAGCTCTTGTGCTGCATAACATGATTCCAGCCCACAGTTACACAATTTTCTAGGCGTAGTTGCACTCAGTTTGTCTCAATCACTGACTTCATCGCAGAGTTTGACATCCTGGAAAGTAACATGTAGCAAGTCCCCGAGGGAAAAAAAATAAAATTCCATAATACCTGGTAGCTGAATAAACTGAAATCCTGAGCAGAAGCAGTCCTTTCTTTTCTTGCAAAACACTTAAGAACATGCATGTATGTGTGTTAAGCAATGCATTTTAGTCAATGTCCTTACATCTTATCTTCCAAAAATTCCCCAACAATTTCAGTTAGGTGTGATGTCATTTTCCACTTCTTCCCCTGAAAGGTTGTGAAGCAGTTTTGTAAGAGAGATGCAGTTCCCAGGAGAGAGTCTCAATTCCCGCACAGAATTGCAAGTCTTGGCTTGGGTCCAGAAGGTGTCTTAGTCCTTACCAATACTCCAGTTTGAAGTTTTTCAGAAAATCTGTAGCCATGATGTCTTCTTCTTGTAGACCAACACTCAACTCTTTTACAGATGCAAGCACTTTTCCTTACAGTCCCAACAATTCCCTCTGACTTTTAAGCTGTCCCTTGTCCTAATTTCTTCCAAAACATACAGAAGATATTTTGGGGCTGTTATTCTTACAAAACTAAAAATAAAACCCCACAGCCCAACCCTGTTTTGAGATAGTATCGATAGTTCATGACTCTTTTCAGAATCCTTTCTTTTCCAGGCTATAAAAAGTTAGTACCACCACCTTTACCCTATTATCTTTGCTTTCAAGTCTTATTAGAAACACTAGACATGGTACAGAAAGTTTTTGCTCTTCAACATCAAAAGAAAAGAAAAATCTATGAAATGCTTTCACCCCAAGGCATGAAAAATATTGAGGTGCCTCAGAAACCTCAAAATCCTCAGTAAATTCTGTAAATGAATCTTCTTTTAAATTCAATCTTTAAACCAGGCTACAAATAGAAACAATGTTTCCCTAACTCCCCTATAAAATTCGCACAAGCCACTGAAATTTTATATTTCTTAGAGCACTTTCAGAAGTTCGGATATTTTAGAAGGTGTAAAGAGTTTAAAACTTACTTAGTTGTGTTTAAGCCAAGTTTTACTTCAATGAACTTCAGCAAATGCTCATTTTCTTTATGAGGAACAAACATCTGAAAATTAATTTAGCAGAGAAAAATCTTATCCAGTGCTGGAAGCAGCTTTCATGCAGTCACTTCATTCAGATTACAAAATGGCAGGGAACAATCAACTATTCAAAGACTTAGTTAAAACTAACAAATTGGATTAAGTGTACCAATTATGGTACCGGTGTGGTGGTGTAAATCTTCACTTACATAAGTCTATCTTCAGAGTTTCCTTGAGAATACCATTCCCTTCGTTTCATTCATGTACCCCAACAGGAGGGCAAGTGAAAGGCTATCAATAAGTTGTCAAAACACTACCAACCAGTGCAAAAAGGATCATGAAAAATGGACATAACTTACCCCCAAGCAAGCCAAAGAACACTGTTCTAGCAAAAGTTATGATCATTTGTAATCTTCACATAAGTTGTTTGAGCAGCCAAAAGTTCTGTGTACTGTTTATGTAATTTAACTCATGTTTTTCAAGGCTAAGCTTTGCTTTCATGGAGACACAGCAAGGCTAGCCAGGCTGAATGGCACAAGAAAAACATCCAATCTGAGCATTCTCTCAAACTTTTTAGGGTTCACTAGTTTCTTTATTTTTAAGTCAATACTGTTAATTAACACAACCAGGGTGAGTTCGAGACATAGAGGAAAAGCATAATAAATTATGTAAAAGACTAGAACCAGCAAGAGGGAGTTGCTAGTCAAAATACAAGGTCAGGCTAAAATCCCATTGTGTAATCTCAACTCCTCGCTGACTCCTACACTAAATCAAGGTCTCTGTTTGTATATTCTCATTGAAATTTAATTGAAAATTAATATCTACCCTGCAACTACTCATACCTGCTCCTGGCTACTAGGTCTTCTCCATGCACAATAATATTATTTTAATATTCAACCGGTTTGTAGAGGCCATCCAAGTTCTAACAAAAACCACATTTATGAAATAGCTGAAGTGTAATTTGAAGAGTATTTCTATACTATGCTTTAGCCTCAACTCAAAAGACCAAAACCCCAACAAAAATCAGCTGCTTCATCTGTTAAACACTTTTTATATAGAAACAAAACGACTCAATTTTTAGTACTACAATTTGCTATGAACTCTCAGATCAGTAAGCAACACTTCAAAAGATTTTTTCCAAGATACATCTGCAACTTTCCATTTAGATTTTGATAATTAAAATCAGTTTTTACAGAGAAATCTTACCTTTAGTAAGAAGTTTAGTGTCACTGTTATTGTAAGTACCAAATAGATGTACATTATTTTCAGCAATCTTGACAGAAATGTACCTTTTTTCATATTCATCTGCAAAAATATTTAAGAATGCCATATCATTTGGAGTTCAGTTTAAATAATAAAAACTATACTCAGAGTTTGAGGAGAGTCTAGTTACCTGAAGGCATTTAGAGAGCATTAAAGCTGCTACTAGACTCAGCAATGGTGACACTAGTAAGGCCGAATTTTCAAACTGCAAAAGGTACCCCAAGAAGAGAGAAAACAAGTAGATTTTGTATACTTCATGCACCTGTTGAAGAAACAAAATAAAATACAATAATGTAAGATTACAGCGGATATACGACTTGCTTTTTAGAGCAGTAGATAGCTCACTCCATTCCTCCGTTAATCAGGGGAGTAATGAATCTCTGCCCTCCACCTCATGAAATCTAGCAGTGTACTGTTTAGCTCTGGAAAGCATTTCACATCAAAATGATCCTGGTGCAGAACCATTTTGCAGAATAAATTCAAATACTTTCTTGTACTGAAAAATCAATTGGTCTTCAGCATCTCTCTAGTCTATTTGTTGGCTAAATCAGTACAGGGCAGGCCATTCAGGGTGCAAGTGAGCCCCTTAACTGCACAGAGCAGTTTTCTGGTCAGCCCCATCCCACTGTGAATAGGGAAAGGAAAAGAAGTGGCAGTTAGGCCAAAAAGGATGCATGACTGAATATCATTCATCACTCTTTCAGCTCTCCAAGGATGCTTCAGGTCTCAGAAGCTTTGTTTAGCTTCTGACCCTTTTGTTAGGAGAGCTGTCCCAAACACAGTAGTCCAAAAGAGAGTGAATTTAAAGCCATTTTACTCTTCCAACGGACATGACATGCACTTCAGCTGGACCCAGGCTGCAAGACACTCAAGTCATCACCCAGTCTGCGCCCTTTGGAGCTCCTGAGCAGTATGTACAGCAGCCACCCCCGAGGCTGCATTTAAGATCCCAACTATCGGTAGGCTGAAAAGTTCTAATACCTTCTCTGTCTGTGCCAGGGCAAAGCCATCTAGCAGAAAAAGAGAAACAGCCTGGACAAACAGGAGATAATGACTGTATTCCCACATCATCATGAAGGTGTACGTTGAAGCACTCACCAAAAGGTAACAAAACTTCTAGAGACAAAAAAGAAAAACAAAAAAAAAGCATTCATTTCATACCTATGCATCTCTGTCACTAAGTAACTGAGAGGTCATTAAAACAGAAACTATGGCAATTAATTATTATTTTAGGAAATAGTTAAAATACCGAATTCAGACATATTTAACATTCTTAGATGGAAGAAAGTAATTACCAAAACATTAAAAAATATTTAAAGCCAATCAAAAGAATAGATTGAGAGACAGGGAAAGGAAGTTACCACCATCTTCTCCGAGCAACAGGAAGAGCAACAAAACAGTTTACACAGTGAGAAAAATTCTGCATCAGTTAATTTTAAAAATACAGCAGACAGCTCATTACCATTGAGCTTTACCATTATCATTGTTCTTCCTGAACCCTGACGGGGGCATGACAGGGCAGGGCATGAGCGGCTTAGCAAAAACCACACATGTCTAGGTGAAATCCAAGTGGCTGATTTTAAAAGAACAAACAAAACAACTGCTGTTTTCTGCATTGTGGGGCAATAGCGACAGAGGTAACTACTCTAGAGCACAGTTCTACCAGCAACTCTTTATTAAGAAATTAATTTTGCTTTACCTCAGCAGAACAATTTAGGTTTTTTTTTAAATAGCCTGTGAGAGCTGCTACTTGACATGCAAAATATGGCAAAGCCCAATTTTCCCTTGATGGTATGGAGTAATCAATTCTTGTTGTATCTGTCCTAGAATAAAGTACAGACAAACAAAATTATTAAAAGATTTACCGAACAAAAATACCAAGGAAAGGCTAAATGTCCCTTCTTGCAGTGTGGCCTTGCAAGCAAACTATTCCTGTATTGAGTGTAAAGTAATACTGACACAATTTCACTGCTGATACAGGTCACGATTTAATATCAGCATGGAAGTCCAATCTTTACTCATTTATTCTTCTTACTAGGTGGCACTTACAGGACTGAAGTCAAAAAGCATCTGCCTCCAGCTTTTTCTGACCCACCACACCACTGTGCAAGCTGGACACACCACACACCTGCACCGTGATAATGGGGACTTCTTTGGCCACGAGCAGTGCTAAATGGTCCTATGTCCACAGGCAGGGGACCGCTGCCGTAACAGCAGCTTTTCACATTGCAACCAAAATCAGCTCAGAGCTGAGAGAAAAGACTCCTTTCAGTTCTCATACAACATGGTTTAAATAAGTCATTTAGGCGGTCGAGCACAACATACTTAGAATCCAAAGCAGTGCTCCCTCTTAGCAGCAGCACCGGCAGGTACTCTGGCTACAGGGAAAATTCTGCCCAGCAAAACAAGAGATTAAAGACGGATGGGGAGCATGGGCCAGAACGGCAGCAGGATCTTCTCAGGGAATGACTTGACAGTATCTGCACAATTAGAGCTGTAGGAGAAAGTTTTAAAAAGTGCTAAAGTGACTTAGAAGCACAAGTCACACTTTCAAATGTGATCAAAAGCATCAGTTTCAGAGGTACATAGTCGTCTTTGTGTCTACTATGCTTTTAAAAAGGAGCCTCTAGCTTCTTTATCATTTGGATATTTGAAAGTGTCACCTTTCATTTTTACCTCTGAAGCCTCTTACAGAGGCGTATTCGGAGCTTTTTTAACTACCGGACCTTTCAATTTGTTAACATCATTTAATCTTCTTTGCTGTTGAAAAAAATACAGATTTATTCACCATTTCCCCTACTTTCCACTGTTCACACAAGTTGATGAACAGTATTTTTAGCTACTAATCAGAGATTCGGTCATGATGACTTCACACTCCTAAAAGACGCTTCCCAACAGTTCAACTTTAAAGGTATATGTCTAACATTTTGCTCCTCAATAGCTCTTTTCTTTCAAGTGCTCTCAAGTTCAGAGAAAGCCCCAGAGCTACTTGGTGACAAACCAAGAACCTGAACACAAGTTCTCATTGTCCAAATGAGGCTCCCTGTAATTGTGAAACATTTTAAAATAATAAAAAAAAAAAATAATCTTGAAATCAGAATAATCTAAGAAGATTCCACTTTGCACAAAAACCCATTACAAAAAGCTGATAAAAAAATATCAAAGACTCTTTACAAAAAAAATGCACTTGGTCATTTCCTTCTAAGCAACAGAACAACCATCACAATATTTATAGCTGGCCACAGAGAACAATTCTGGTTTACAGCAACTTTGAAAATTTGTTTTCATTCTTTACCAGCACAAAACCTAAACCTTCTGAGGAATGTTTTTGCAAAATGGAATTGTGTGAGAATACTCCTGTATTCACATACATGCATAAAGTCAGTTCAACTGGCAGCGTGGATGGTTTGGACAACAGGAGGCCTTTCCATTAATAAAAGCATCATGAGAATCAGTGCATCTCTGGGAGATGGTCTGTATTCAGTGCAAGAGCTTGCTCTCACAATGAGAACACAAAGTTTAATAGAAAGCATTTCAATCTGCTCTAATATTTTAAAATGCCTTATTGACAAACTAGATTGTATAAAGATGTTTTTCTTACCTGTTAATAATGAACCATGCTACAGTCAGCATTCCTGCCAGCCAAGTCCCACTCATAACCCAACTGGTTACAAACAATGCAGTCACATAAATTCCCTGCAGTCCAAAAACTATACCAATGTAGAAATACACTGGTTCAATAACTTCCTGAAATTACAAATAAAAACGAAGAGACATAGCGGCAACTGAGCTGAAGCTGGAAATGATTACTATTTACTATTTGCATCCTGCTAACAGTGTGCTAGGTGCTTTACAAACAGGTAAGAGACGGCCCCTATTCTAGAAAAGTATGGAGCATGCTTTTATTTTGGGCTTAGTGAAAACAAAGCAGTGTGAATTAAGAGCACATTTCAGGAGTCAGCTTGCTAGTGCCACGAATTTCATATTGGCTTTAGCATGAACATCGTACGCGTCAGATCTAATAAATCTATACTGCAGTGAGATATAAAGTTCACAGGACTACTGGAAGAAATTATGTTGGGGAGGAACTTAGAGAAGTAAAGATGTGGCAAAAATGGTTCCAAACACAGAGAAGCATATATAAAATAAATAAATAATAAAAAAAGATAAATGAGAGAGGATACAAGTATGAAGCGTAAGCAGAACAAAGCCCAAGTAGAGCAGAAAAAGACAAAAGCTTTATCTACAAAAGTGGTTTTCTCTTTTATCTGTACAGGAATGGGTAGAGACAGTTACCACTATAACTCCTTCAGAGTACAGAAGTCTGTTAACTTTCCTGCTTTTAATGGATAGCACAGATACTTTCCACATTTCTACACAGCTTGTAGATGTAAAGAATAACAGACAGTAAAGTTTAGGGCATATAAACCCCCAAAATCTTACACCAGAGACTGACCAGAATTGAGGAGAACCTGAACCTGGGGAGAGGCTTAACTCAATTCATTCAACAAAAATGGCATGGATTTATTGCATACAACATAGAAAGTCTCACACCCATACATACACAACCATAACGAAAGCACAGAAAGTAGGAGAAATGCACATACTTCGCTACCAGATGCTTGATATAAAACACTGGCAATCAGCTCTGGGTACAAAGTCATTTGCTGGACGGCATTTATTGTCTTCAGTGATACTGTCTTATTGTTGTGTGTCAACTCATAAACACCTATAGACAAAAAAAATACATTATTCTTGGAATCACTTATTACTGCTGTGCTTAAAAAGAGGTGAAAGTGTACTCATAGGCAGGGGGAAACAGATTTGATCATTAAAGCTAGTAACTGATTCACCACTCCTAATATTAAAGGAAGGAGAAATTTCTGTGCTGAATGCCATTCTACCCTACTGACTTATTAACATTATTACCATTTTTTGATGTACCCGTTAAATAGAAGTCCCAAAACTAACCAGCTGGAGCACAGTCTTTTCAGTAACATACTGATGCAGCCCTGGAACTGGCTGCCCACACATCACCTTCACAGGAGGTTCTTAAGAAGTGAGACAAAGATCTAACAGGGATGAGCAGGATGTATTAAACCTGTCTCCACAAAGAGGTCAGATATGATGGCCTTGTCATCTTTTTCAGCCCTTTTCTGAGACTTCTAAGAATCACTCACAACACAATACACCTTTGTATGGGGTTGAGACAAAATTGAAGCAGGCATACTTGAAGGACACATCATTCTGAGATACTATAATTAAAAAACTGACATCATTACTTAGCACAACAAAGGGAAGAGGAAAAATAATCAAAATTAGAGAAGGGAAAAAAGAACAAAAACCCCCAGAGCCAAACAAGATTTGTCCTTTCAGCTCTGAGCATACCTTGGTGTGTGGTCTACAGCTGGTTCTCTGCAGGCCAAACCAGGTCTTGCAGGACTTACAACTGGGTTCAGCACAGCTATGATACACCTTTGAAAACTGGGTGCCCCCATAATACCTAGTAGACACCTGAATCTATTTGTTTGCAGAGGCAGCATGCCTGGATGAGCTATCCACATGGGCAATCTCCCCAGAGATAATGAGGAACTGACTGTATCAAAGACCTATTATATATTGCTGATGAGCTACATATCAGCTGGGAAACTGTTCAAACAATAAAACTAGACCTACAAAGTTTAACTGGCTTCGGACGAGGTTTCATGAGGGGGCTGAACTAATTCAACTGCTGATCTCTGTGAGACAGGGTTGTTCACTCCCTCTTCTCTCCTGGAGTTCTCGCATCTCCCCCCATTCTCAAATTAAAGATCAATTATGCTTACATGGCAAAAAAATCCCCTATGTAGCATAGGCAAACCTAATGATAACTTCCATATGGGGCAATATGAGGGTAATATTAAACCTATTCCAGGGTATTGATTAAAGGCAATCTGATAGAATACAAGATAGTTGAATATTGTTTTTTAAAAGGCACTGAAAAGTTAGGTCAGCATGCAGTTTTTAATTAATCTGAGAAACCTATAGAAGATTATAAAATCAGTCTCCCCAGTCTGCAAGACTTTTTTTACTGTCTCCAAAAGGAACAGGACTTTTCAAGGTTAATAAAACAAACGGGTTTTGTACCTCTTTCAAAGGAAGGAGCCTTTAGCAGTTCTTTATAGAATGAGTAATAAATGGCGCTGTCACCCTGAAATGTAATTTCTCGTTCAAGTTCCTAGGAAAAAAAAAAATATATTCACCTCCTGCAATCTCTTCCCATACAAGACTATATATTTTAAGATAGACTGGTTTTGTAATACAGCACATAGTTAGACTCCACTGTACATCTTCAAAGTATTCCTCAAAACATTAATCTTCACAGCACCTCTGTCAGGTATATAATGCTCTCCATAACTTAGCAAACATGCTCAGAATCACAGCAACTCAAATCCACATCATAAGGCAGCACAAGATCCATGGGATCCTTTCATGTTCACTAACCTGAATTTCATTCAGCTTCCATACTCCACTAAGTAACACAGTTCTTAAAAAAAAACCTCAAAACAACACAACCCCCCCCTACATTCCTGTTGTTTAGTTTATGCGATCCCAGTATGCGTTAGTTTTTTTCTCCAAAATTTAGAAAGGTATTTCAATGATAAAGGATAGAATGATAAAGCATGGAAAAACATATAAAAACATGACAAGACATGATTACTGGGAGGAAAGGAGGAGGAAAGGAGGAGGAAAGGAGGAGGAAAGGAGGAGGAAAGGAGGATACTGTATCAAAGACAGAGGCCTGACTAGAATGACACAGGACTCTACAAGCAGGTAGTTCTGACCTGACATGGATCAGTGTTTATTTCAAGGACATAATGTGGCTTTTGTTTCAGCAGTTTAACTTTTTTCTTTACCTGCCTGCTGGAAAACCAGAATTTCCGTTCATGATATGTTGAGAGGTACACAGCATACATCATTCCACTAGTGACTGCCGCGAGACACCCAAAGAAAAGTTTCGCAAAACGCTGAATTAACATATCTGAAAAGGGACAGTGAAAAAGCCAAAATAGTCCAGAGGACTTAGAAACAAACAGTATGCCTTAAATATGATTAATTTCTGAACAGCAAGTAAACTTACTGGGATCAGAATTATCATACCATCAGCAGCACAGATACACAGATACGAAAACTGGTGTGTTATTCCTCTTCTGTAGAGTTTTCTTTCCCAGTTGTTACCACTGCTTCATAGGACTTTCAGGAAAAATACTCACACTACACTTCAAATTCCTCTCCATTCTAGTAAGCTTCATTTTCAAATGAATTCTAGCAAACTCTAGATTTTACCCAAAACACCACAAACTTCTTAAAGCCATTAACAGAAAGAGGTGGCAATACCACATCTAACATCAATACTGAGACCATTTGGTTTTTAAATATAAGTGGAATTAATCCAAATTTTACCAAACTCATTCAGTGGGTGTCTACTTCACCTGTAGCTCCCTCAGTTAGTATGCGCTTTTACCATAAAAGTTTTTGGTAGCTTGGTGAGCACTCGCCTAAAACTACACCTGGTTTTAGTTCTGTTTCTTGAAAAGCTGTAAGGCCTTTTTGTCTGTTCCTGTTTCAGTATCATTACTTCATGCCTTTCAGCTTCCCAACCCAAAAGATCACGCCAGGCACAATTAAAATATTTATTTGTATTCAAACAACAGTGAGATCCTTAACCCCTTTGCCTCTGCCCCTTTCTCTCCCCCTTCCCCCCAATCTGAAATAATCCAGGACTACCATTTTACTCTGCAATACATAAAATGCCATTATTAAAGAATTCTAATGTGCGTGCCTGGTTTTTTTTTTTTAAAACATTCAAAAACCTCATTCAAAATAAGTCTGTTATAAATTACTGTGCTACAAATATCTTGCCATAAAATGTAAAAGAATAATGAAAAAGAATCAGAAGTTGGCTAAAAATTCTGTAGCTTACATTTTGGCGATCTTCCCAGCTTTGAGTTTTCTTTGTTTCTCTCCTCTGGAGCCATTTTGTCAGATTCCGTGCAGTTTTGTTTCTTTCTCTGTCGCAGGTCTGCTGCCCCTGAGGACATTTTTTTAAAGTTATTGCAACACAATACCTAAAATTGCACTCTGAGAAATCCATGCAGCAGCAGGTAACAGCCAGTTATTGCTACCGATTCAACCCCACAGCAGATATATTTGACAAAAGACTCAATTAAAGTATGTCATATGCCTAACTAAAATAACAGTATAACAATACAGAAATCAATTCCTCTGTTATTCCTTAGAAAATCAAGTAGTTTTCTCTTGAGGCCATGCTCTGGAATTACCCAGAACCCAAACTGGAAGCTGACTGGTTCATTCCATGATGAACTTATTACACAAATGAAGGAAAGCAGTAGTTTAGATAAGTTGATACAGACACCAGGAGAAATTGGTGCCAATTCCAGTCTACTCTCATCCTGGTTTTATGCTGCTATAGTATAGAAGTGTACGAGGCACATTACTGTAATACAAACCCTGGGCTAGTCCATTGCTTTTAAATAGAGCTGCCTGTTATTCATATGGTGAAAGCTTTTATAAAGCAAATATAATATCACTTTTTTCCTGCTTCCAGATCTACTGGAACTAAGTATATTTATGAATTTAACATGCAATTAAAGAGCCCATTTTGCTAGGCCATGCAGATCACATCACAAGACTGAGGGCTTTTTCGCCTTCTGTTAAGTTTTCTATAAACAGCAGGATTTTGAAGCCCGGGCTCATTTATTTTGCAGTCTGAAAGGCAAAGAGACTAGTTCACAAGTCTCCATACAAAAAGATTCATTGCAAAAAGTCTGTTATAATTACTGTACTAAAAATGACACCCTACAACGTTCATGTCAGTTTAGAACCTTGATGAAAGGGTTTAACTGCAACTCACACTCCAGAATTTTTAGCTCTCCACTTTGACCTGCTGTCCAACATTGCTCAAAATTTTGTAGCCACTGATTTCTTCTGGGCTTAAACCAGCTCTTTCATAGAGCCATTCAACTTGAAGCTTGAGGTGTTAATCTTCACATTCTACAACAAAGCCTTTAATTACTCTGGTTGGATATTACCTAAAGCCTAAATCAGTCTACTTTTAACTTCCAACTATCAGATTTAAAAGTTAGAAACTCAGAGATGGTAACATAAATAAACTGTTAAAGTGGTGTTAGCCTGTATCAGGACAGCTGTATTTGGGTTTTAACACGGTTTTCAAAGCATTTTATAAATTATTCTGAGCAAACCAAGATCTCAATGATAACATTTTTCATGGAATGAACAGAAAACGTGTACCTTCTTAAACATGACAAGAACTGGAAAGATATTAAACAAAACAAGGTTTAGGGTGTTCACGATCACATTTATCATTATGTCAATCCAAAACGAAATATACGCCAGTATGTCTTCATGCCATGTACATGAAGTTAATCAGCAAAGCAAACGCTGCGTGCACTGCAATTAAAAATCACTTGTACCACACAAAATAAAATGGGAGGAAAAATCCCTGGATCATCAGAATGGGCAGATACATGCTTGGAAAGACATTGTCTGCCCTTGGCATTCTAGTTATGACCAAAGCAACAGCAGTGAGAACACTGTAGGCATTTCTTTCACTCTTCTGGCAGAGAAGTGAGCCATATTAGAAGTGTAACATAAAGTCTAGAGTTAGCAGCAGTAATAGAAAACTTCCAAAGAAAGAACGATTTAAAATTCTAATTCTGGAACAACTGTATCTCAGTCAGCAAATGATCTTCACCTTGGTTTTGAAGACTGCGCAACAGACTCCCCCCACAAAGCAGTAACAAAGAAAGATCCAAGTATGCTACTTCTGTCTCATTTGCAGCTGCCTCAAAAAAGAAAAATGCTGTTGCCATTTCTCTGAATCCTTTTAACGGGGTGAAGTGGAAGTCAAACAAAGCGACAACTGAAAATAACGTAGGATCTTCAACTGATGACACAGCCTCCAGTACCCCTCTATCCAGCAAACAATTTTTTCAGCCAAGATTGCTTTTTAGTTCCCTCTAAGTTCCCAGTACAATTTTTTCAACTCTCGTTCAGACAACATGCATTCCACTTCTTTTTGTGTTATCTATTGCAGAAAAGCACAACTCACTGCTCGTATGTACCAATAGTTTCATCCATTTTTCGCCTGCAAATCGAGCACTGTCTGCAATTCTTGTCCTCTGATCTAAACAAGGATAAGGCTGAGCTGGGAAATGTTCTGAAAAGGGCCACGAGGATGATCAAAGGTGTGCAATGGCTCCCATACACAAGGAACAAGGAAGCAAGCTGAGGATGCCTCAATCTGGAAAAGAGGATGACCAAAAGAAACATGCCAGGGGCCTACAAGCTAGTGAAGTGCACGAACAGGCTGAATAGGGAGCAGTGTTTCACCTTCTTTTCTAATACTGGAACAAGAAGTTATCAAACAAACCCAGTGAGTCAGGCTAAACGGAACCGGTTCATCGCACATCACCTTCGCAGAGACCACTCCTACCCAAAGAATGTTCTGTAAATGAAGAGTGTATACTGATCAAGAGAACATCGACACATTTGTGGAGGACAAACAACCAAAGACTACTAAATACACAGAAATCCTGTTCAGCTCAGAAAGTACCCCAGCTGAGAACAGCTGGGAGGCTGGTATATGCCAGGGGACAGTACCACATACGCTTGTTTTCACAGAATCACAGAATTGTAGGAATTTTGTAGGAACAGACCTTCAGAGATCATCTAGTCCAAGCTCCCCACCAAAGCAGGTTCACCTGGAACAGGCTGGACAGGAAAGCATCCAGGCTGTTTTGAATAATTCCAGAGAAGGAGACTCCACAACCTCTCTGGGAAGCCTGTTCCAGTGCTCTCTTACCCTTAAAGTAAAGATTTTCCTCCTGTTAAGATGGAATTTCCTGTATTCTGGTCTGTGCCCACTGCCCCTTGTCCTGTCACTGGGCACCACTGAAAAGAGTCTGGCCCCATCTGCCCTTTAGATAAGCACTGATGAGGTCTCCCCTCACTCTTCTCCAGGCTAAACAGACCCAGGTTCCTCAGCTTTATCTCATCAGAGAAGTGCTCCATTCCCTTGATCATCTTTGTAGCCCTCCCCTGGACTCTCTCCAGTAGTTCCCTGTCCTTCTTGAAAGGCTGGCAAGTTTTGCTCTTGCATGTCCCTTGGGTGCCTCCTCACAATCCCGTTTCTGTTGATTTCACCAAGAAAACTGAATGCCATCTCCCAGTTCCCACAAAGGGGGTTAGCACAAAAGAGACCTGGAGCAAAATGACTGTGTGAGTGAGGGGGGCGGACTAAACGTGAAGAGAGAGTGAAACAGACTGAAACATACAAAGGGGGAAAGGGAAGGGATGCCGGAGGACAAGCACGCTCCCGGAGGCACCCCCAGGGCCGAGGGATGCTGCAACGCCAGGCGAGGGAAAAGAAACAGGCCCCAAGTTTCTGGGCCCCCATCCCCCCAGCTTCCTCCCGAGGGGGTGACCGAGCCGGCACGGCCACCGGCCGCCGCCGTGGGACCAGCACTGCCGGGGGAGGCCGACCCCCTCGGTCCTGCCGGCGGGCATTTTACCCGACACACAGCCGCCGGCCCCGACCCCGGCCCCACCGCCGACCGGCGCCAGGGGAAGCGGCCCCGACCCCCCCGCCTCACCTTCCTCCATGGCCGGCCTGCGGCCGCCCCCCGCCGCCGGGACCCCCCGCCGCTCTCTCCGGGGGGACGCCGCCCCGCCCGCGCTCCTGCCGCCGCCCGCGTCTCCTCAGCCCCGGGGGCGGGAGCGCTCTCGCATAACACGGCGAGCGGAGGCGCAGCCGGCCCCTCGCTTCCTGCCGCCCCGCTCTTGCTCCCGCCGCCGGGCGCTTTCTCCGGGCGGAACTGTAGCGGCAGAGCCAAGGGGGCGGCCGGAGCGCGGCGGCGGCGTACCGAGGCGTACCGAGGCGCAGGCGGGGGAAGGGAGGGCCTGCCCTGCCGCCGGCACCGGGAGGCGCGAAGCTCCGCTTCCCCGTCAGCCCGGACCCCCTCCCGCGTTAACGCCGGACGGGCAGCGGGGGGAAGGTCCCTCCGCCCGCCAGCCCGGCTCCGGAGGGACCGTGCCCCTCCAGAGCGGCCCAACCAGGGCCTCGCCATGGAATGGCTAGAATTGGAAGGGACCTTTAAGACCATCCAGTTCCAACCCCCTGCCCTGGACAGGGACACCTCCCACCAGAGCAGGTTGCTCAAAGCCCCATCCAGCCTGGTCAATTTCAAGGATGGAGCATCCACAGCTTATCTGGGCAACTTGTTCCAGTGTCTCACCACCTTCACAGCAAAGAATTTCTTCCTAATATCTAATGTACATCTACCCTCTTGCAGTTTAAAACTGTCACCCCTTGTCCTGTCACAACACTTAGTGATAGAGTCCCTCCCCATCTCTCCTGTAGCCCCCTTTAGATGCTGGAAGGCTTCCATAAGGTCTCCCCAGAACCTTCTCTTCTCCAGGCTGAACAAACCCAGCTCTCTCAGCCTGCTATCCCCAGCCCTGTGAGCATCTTCATGGCTCTCCCCTGGACCCGCTCCAACAGGTCCATGTCCTTGCTAAGAAGGACAACTTGAATCAGAGCATCTCCAGTGGGTGCCTCTTGCTCACCGCCCCCCACCTGCCCTCTGCAATGAGGCTCCCTCCCTGAGAAGGAAGGTCTCCCCTCCTGCACAGCGTGACCTGGGGAGTCCGGGCTTGATGGTCACACACAAAACTCTGGGCCAGCTGCAAGGACCTGGAGAGGGAAGTGGGTGGTTGAGCCTTGATGCATGGCTGCTTTGGGCTCCTTTTTACACCATGGTGAACTACTGGAGCACGGAACCAGCGCCCCGCTGTCACAGAGGCTGTACAAACACAGGGTGAAAGGATGCCCCCATCCCCAATGAAGTTACAGTCTGCTTTTGTGAGAATGGGCTGTGTATGGGAAGGGCAGGGAAAGAACATCAGGAAGAGATGAAGCATCCGTAAGCAGTGGCATAGGTGTACCAGCCACCTCATTATTATGGTGGTTATTTGCCGTCCTCCTCTGGCAAAAGTGATTTGGAGGGATGGGGTAATTTTGTGAATGTGAGCTGGGCATGCCTTCAGAGCATAAAGGATAGCATGGAAAAGTGTCTTCTGTAATTTACCAAAAGAGCTGGGGAAGCCAGCATGGTCACTGACGGATGCGATCAGAGACAGTAGCTAAGTTAGAAGGCCAGGTGATGAAGCATCTTTAAAGTGAAGTTATGTACTTTATGCTTGAAATGACAACAGACAGGAGTCCAAAGGAGAGACAGAGAATGGGTGACATGGCTACAACGATGCTCCCCTCCTACATTGTTGATTGCAGGAGCCCTTATGGGCTTCCCCAGTCAAGACCTTATCATTTTGGGGAATCTGCAAAGCACGGTGTTCAGCTGCCCTGCAAGTAGTGATGCTGTGAGAAAGAGCGTATTTCACCAAGAAGCAGCAGCAGCTTTGATTTTTGTTGGTGAAAGTCCTGAGTTCTGACGATGACAATAAGCTGAGCTGATTATATACGCGGGTTCATTGCAATATGACAATCCCCTGATTTTGCAGCTATGGCAACATAAGCTACTTCTGTGCCGCACGTGGGGTGCCAGGCCAGGGCAAAGGCTGGTGCCTTCCCTGACCACTGCCTGGGGACACACCTCAGGAGGTCCCACTAAGGAGGAGTCTTGATGGTACTGATTCCATTTGCCTCTACAGACACCCAAATCCTCGATTCTTGGGTTAGGATTGTCAAGGATAGAAATTCTCACCTTGCCATTCCCCCAGATTTGCTTGCATATCTCTGTGGTGGGCACCAGCTCAGGCCTGAGCGGGCTGCTTGAGCCAAGGAGGCAATTTGTGTTTTGGTGGTTGGCCCACAGCCCTGGGGAGGGCTGGGGAGGACCTCCAAGCCTTGCCCAAACCTGCTGTGCAGAGAGCAGATGGAGAGAGCTGGTGCAGGACCCGGCACAGGTGGGTGGGTGCTCCCAAGAGGTGTGTCTTTCCAAGGAGTACCGTGTTGTCTCCTTCCCAGTGTCTTGGGGACACTCCAGGGTGTGCTAATTGATGTATCATTGTTAGTGTGATAGTACTAACAAAGAAGCCTTAGTAATAGTAGAGTCTAATAAATTGTATCCAATTAATCCCCAAAAATGCCCTTGGTCTCTCAAGGGATCCTTGTTCGCAGAGCGTTATCTAGGTGAAGAGAAACAAACTGGAACATGGCCTTCAACACAAAAACCCAAAGGGTAAGGGAGTATCAATAAGGCCAAAGAAACCAGTCTGGTAAATCTGCCAAGTAGATGGTAGCAAAGACTCTGAAATAATGTGTAGCATAATCAACTATTCAAAGGCGTGTTTAGGATGATGATTTCGTAGAATAGGTGTATGTGTGCCTTATATGGGAAAAAGTGCAAAATAAACCTGTAATAGGTCAAACGGTCGGGAAGAATGTGAGCTCCAACTTCTCAGCCAATGAGAAGAGAGACAGAAACTCAAGCGGCCAGGATAAAGGTATAAAATACCTGAAAGCTAAAAGATCATCGTGCATCTATTTTTGGTGCACCCAATTCAGTGCTGTTTCGTATTAATAAATTATTATTTTTTTAACCTTTGCTTCGGTGACTTTGTCCTCTTTAAATTCTAAGATGTGAGTCGGTGTTTCTCACAAGGGGATGGAGTGAGCACAGGCGTGGGCTTGAGTTGGCAAGCAGCCATTCAACAGACTACAGCGGTACTACTTGTGGCTTTCTGCACGGGATTTACCTCCACTCATCATCAGATGGTCAGGGTGAGTTCTTTAACAGGTGGAATATAAGGCCCCGTGCATCAAACGTGTGCTGAGAAGCTCTGGGATCTGCAGGACCGTGGTTTTGGCAGAGGTAGTCTACCAAAAGATGGTAGGGCTGGGGCAAGGTCTGATGGTTGGCTATACCAGCTGAGATTTTTCTCTGTCTTAGGTCAGACCTGTAATGCCAAAGGCTGGGAATCTCTCTCTAATAATCTGGGACACGCGTGTGTAGGTGCACCAGGGGCACTACCAGGGCACAGACATCGTTCCCCACGTAAGTGCTCTGGATTACATTCTGTCACTCTTTGAGGGAGTCTTGCCCTGAATTTGGACTGTCAGATTAGGATCGTCATCTCTGGGAGCAGGATGGTATCAACCGAGAGTTGAAAGATTGCTGGGGACCCCTGGGCCATTTGCCAACTGATGGTTTAGAAATAACCAGAGCGAAATAACTGGGAGGTGGCCAGGATCTGTGCTGTCTGCATCTCACCCTGCGTGTGTAAAGGGAGGGAGTTCTCCAGGCACAGTCTGCCAAGGGCTGTGCTGCCTGGGCTCGATTTTGGGTCCGGGAGGCTGTGACCCCAGCAGCTCTCACCAGCCAGCCCTGTCTGCTGCAGGAGTGCGTCGCTGCGCAGAGAGACTGGGCTTATTTTGCCCTCTCAGAAGCAAACCTCTGGAGGAGCCACTGGAGAGGTTTTTGGGAATCGCCCCGTGGGGACCAACATCTTCTGACATGCCTTCTGACTCGCAGGCAGGCCAATGGCTGATCAACTGCTGGAAAAGTGATTTGGTTACTTGTCTAGCAGCTGCAAGGAAAAAATAAACCAATTTGTGTGTCCTACTGGAGCGTAAAATGAGATTTATAAGTTTCCTGGATTTTTTAATAAAATCTAAAATGCTTCTGCAATTGTTGATTTATTGGATAGCTAAAAGAGTTGCTTATGTTTTTAATGATCCATAAATTATCCATTGCATTTTTAATGTAATTGGTTTTGATCTGGTTAATTTTTTTCATAACTTGATTCTGTTGTAAGTTACCGGAATAAGCACAAATAATCATTGCAATCAAAACAACAATAATCATTTTAAATATTTATACTTAGACCATCAATACATGAACAGGAATAAAACAAATGACTGCTCAGTTACACTCTAAATTTTGTTTTTCTCAAACTTTCTTTGTACCTGCCATTTTATACAGTACCTTGTTACATTTCTTGTGCAACTCCAGTTTTCTACTGATGCTCCAGCATCTGGATCATCCCACACCTTGAATTCAGTAGAAATATAAATGCATATCAAGTTATTTATATGCACAACTGTACAGATACCAGGGAAGTGAAAAATCCAGCCTGCTCACTAGGTTTTCATTTTTTCCCAAGGTCTTCTATGGAAAAATTGCACATTTGAAGGTGGGAGAACCAAAAATCATCTTTCATGCAAGTTTCTTTCTCCCAGAATGAACACGCTGCAATGTTTTTTAGACTAATGTTGAAAATGTTATTACTGCTGCACCTCAATCTTCCAAAATGCTTTCTTTGACTAATATTATATGAAAGTTATTTCATTTGGCAGCCTATTATGTGCCCTAAACATTGTGCTGTAATACATTACAATGAATAAATCCGGGGATGTTGTGTTCTTTTTCCAAGCTTTCTCTGTACAAACATGCATCATGTATCTGCATGATGGCATTCAGCCTCTATTTACATATTATTTCTAAGCCCTACAGACATAACTTTCCTTTTTGTTTACAAGTCTGCAATATTGATGTTTTCTAGTTTAACAATCTTTCTCTCTTTCAGAGATGTCAGGAGGCAGACAGACACAGATCTACCTTAGTATAAAGCATTAATACTGAGCATATTTGTCATTACTCCAAAGTAAAGAGTGTGTACTTGTTTATTTTGTAAACAAACCAAGTTACTTTTTTTATATGTTAAAGATTCCATGCCTAAAAAAATTTGTAAAGTTTAGTTTCAATAATCAGGCAACCACTGCAGATATTTCACTCATGCTCCTAATTTCAGCCTTTTGTGGGGTTAATCCTCTG